CCCACCCCCCTCTCACCTACTCCCAGCATAGGGTAGCGACCCTGCCGCTAAATCCAGAAGAACAAAAATCACAGTTTGGGCCACGCCAAGAAAAGTTTGTGCTTCCCAATTCTCACTGCTGGCTTGGTTAAGTCCTGGAGAGCCCGTCTGAAGGCACGTTCAGTGCCTGCCCTGTGTCAAAATCTACGAGGTGTCTGTATACACGTGGAGACAGCCCCAAAAATTACAGACTCTAAGTATCTGGAAGTAAGGAAGCAAGCTGGTATTTTCACCTTATTAACTGAGAAAAGAAATAATGGGAGTTGGGTAAACATTACCCTGCATCAAGGTGACTTTTTTGGGGGTGCAGGGCAAGTGCTTTGCTCTAGCCAGCCCCAAATCCAGCTCTGCATTGCAGGGACAGACCCAGCCTCTTTCATCATTATTTGAAGATAATAAGGAAGCAAGATGATAGCTGTCAGAAAGTTTTACATAGAAGTTGATTGCAACAGGAAGGTAGTAACCTCTGAAAGGTCACTCTAAGAAGTGCCCTCTTCAAAGCAGATCTGCAGAAAAGCAGTCGATCCAAGAAAATACACTTATTTTGCAAATAAAATTTGGTTATTACCCAGCATTTCCCACTCTGGCTACACAACAGAACAAGCTCTCCGGTGCCAAAGTACAATAAGCAATAGTTATATTTTTATTCTGTAGTCTTTATCATAGGCAATTAGGGAGAACAAAATATGACAGTTTTGGAGCCAATACCTGAACTTGATGATACAGCAGACAAGAAGGTACAGAAATAGTAGAAAAATAAATACGGGAAATAGAACCTTCCTCTGGCCATCTTTTTCAATCACTTTCCCACTGCAGAGTACGACGTCAAACTTTTAAAATAAAGTTGATACATAGGTTCTCCAAATGGACTATTGAGCAAGGTTTGGCAGGAAGGCTATTAAGAATCCATGCTGTGACATGAATATAAATGGATGCAAATGTTGTCCTTGGTTGCACCAGTGAGCTACCATGCTGCCCTCAGGCCAGCTGTTCTGCAGTAGCTTTTCCTAATACCAAAGGGTTTCAGAAAAAGTATGCCAGCTCCAAGCCTGGGGTTATTTTATTTTTACTTAAACCTGCAGTAGGTTTTTATACTAGCAACTGAACGCATCTTCATTAGTCCTTGTCTCTGTTCATCCATTCCCATCAGTCAGGCTCTGCTGCCAGCACTTGTGCTGATGGCAATATCTAATGGTAGGGCTTGCTGTGTAGAGCTTTCATATTACAAAAAATAAATTTTTAATCAGGGAGATTTGTTGCCTGCTACCTGAAGGGAAGTTCCAGCCCTGCTCTCCCAGTTTAGATGGGCTGTGACTTCTCGTCTTTCTTACCTTCTTAATAGCTGGCATTGAGTATTCTGTTCAATTCCGTGCTGTCCCCTGTACATAAAGTGCTGTCAGCCAAAATTAAGGCAACACCTCACTGGGTGACAGAGTAACTTTGAGTTAGTCCTCCAGCATGCATCCAACCCCTACATCATCTGTAGTCACAAGAAATGCTGAGGCTGTATTTTAACCAGGAACTGCGTTTAACATTCACCAGGTAATCTCATAGGTTTTGAGGTTCTACACAGATAACTCAGTCAAGACTCACCCTGTTTGGATCAGTTGGAAGTAAAAAATGGTCATCAATGCCCAATTTGTAAGAGTAAAGCTTGGTGCTAGGAGCCTGCTGTGAAGATTTCAAGCTCTGCTGTCATCTGCTGACGGCAGGGGCTGGGACACTGGCTCCATGACCACGGGCTGAGTCAGGAGCAGACAGGGCTGAGAAAGCCAATGTACAAAGTTAAATGTCCATTAAATTTTCAGCAGCTGGAAACCAGGTTGCTACTTGCGTTTTCAGGCCCTTCCTCACCCCATGACTGAGGGGCAGGCTTACCTCTGGCCAACTGCCGATCACCCACCTGAAAGCAGCTTGTAGGGCCCATGGCGAGGATGCCTCCACCTCCATCGTGTACCTGGAGGCTGCACAGGCTGTGGTGGGGTTCCGTCACCCCATGCCCACAGGGGCCGGTCGAGGGCAATGGGCTCACATGTCCTCATTTACTTGAGGAAGTCTTCATGGTATCGATTGTGGAGCTGCCTTGCACTGTCTTCCATGAAAGTGCCAGTAATGAAACACCTTTTTGAATAGCTAATGTATACATACACAATAACAAAATGCCTTTTGGAAACCAACATTGTGACACCCACCAGAAAGTAAATTGGCCTTCAAAGGGAGAGAGATTACAGCCAGCTGGTAGAAACACACCTAGGGGCAGGGGAGCAACCAAAATAGCCCTTTTCTACAAAAGAAGAGCTGTAAAGAAAGATGAAGAGTTCCAACAGAAATTCATCTATGTCTGCATCAGACAGAGCACCTCCAGGCTGCCTGCCTTCCTTTCACTCCTCATCAGGGCTGTTTTACAGGTGATACAGGACAGTGCGATTGTGAACACTGGCTAATTCACTGGATTGTTTGTTAAACCAGAGGGAGTTCCAAGAAGTAATTTTGCAGAAAATCATTTTGGCAGCTTCAGCAGGAAACTTCCGATATATATCAACATCCAATATTGGCATCTTAATATTGACAAGGGAATACAAGATGGAAACGATAAACCAAAGTCTAGGAAAATAATATGTAAGCTCGGTTAGCACTGCTAATTCTGAAGTGGGTTGAATCAGTAATATTCAAAACTATTGTTCAATGTGCTTTAACATTACTTTCAAAAAAATAAAATTTAACTCCAACAGTAAAGTGGTTTTAAGAGGTAAACCTACTGAAGTGATTCAAACCACAATTTCAAATTAAGTCATCCAGCTGCATTTCCTCTGGTCGTTTACATGTACTAGAGGCTTTCAGATTTGTGGAAATGAGAGCACACACGCTTATCAGAGATGAGAAATGAAAACAGCTACACCATTTTAATTCTCATACTATGAGAATAAAAGCATCAGTTGCCAATCCAGACTAACTGCTTAGCCCAATCTGCCTTTCAGATTTACTCAAATTCAACTTCTACTAGCATAATTTTTAGGCAGCAGTAAATTTACAGGGACATTATGAAAGGGTATGGTATTTGAAACCCAAGCATACTCAGAAATTTTGCTTGGTTTTGCTGCATTTGTTACATTTAGGTTCTTAAATCAAAAGCACTACTTAACTACCTCAGGCTTAGGATGACAACTGTCCATTTAGATGCTGCTTGAGTGCAACAGATCATAACTTTTTTTTTTTTTTTTTTTTTAAAAAAAAGAAAATGTGTTCCTTTTAGGCGGCAAATATCTTTAAACCAAAGTTATTTAGAAACTGAACGCTCTTCTTCAATAGCCACAGCCACCTAAGAGCCCTGGGACCTCTGTGCCTTCCAGCTCTGCTTAGGTTGAGCCAAAGATAGTTTCAGGTCTCTTCATGGACAAAAGAAGAGTCCCTCAGCACTCTGCAAAAAATTCTGCGTCTGACTACAATACACATATTCTTATTTTGGATACATTTTTCAGTATTTATGGAAACTGTAAAATGGAAAAAGTACAAAAAATACTGGCTCAGGGATAGAGAGGATTTCAGACATGACACGCAACAAAGTGATATGATCATACATCTTTGTACCAACTAGATTTCGCATCTGTGAAAGAGCAGCGTGGTCAGTCATGAATCCTGACACACATGCAGCTGACACTTTAAGAGGTCACTGTCACATGCTAAATAGTTTTACCCATGTGAGTATCTGCAGGCTTCCCTGGATTACCTGGGTCTTCAATTAGATTAATCAAGGCTGTGACCGTTCTCACATGCGTAAGTATTTGTGGCACCAGACGCTAAGGGCAGAATAGATTGAGTCTGGAATGGGTTTTTGTTTGTCTTTAAACACGCAGGTGGAGTGTTCTTACCTTCTGCCTCCATGACTCCCTAGTACCCTCCATTCTCCCACAAGCAGGGTGGTTTGAGTAGTAACTTAACCGCAAGTGTTTTCTGCAGTACTAGGGATAATCAAGTGGGTGAAACCCATTTTAACTCTGAAAATTTAGGCTAGTGGATTTCAAGAGAAACTGGAGCTAACTACTCAGTAAAGATTTATAAACAATAGGCAATAAGAAGTGATGAATATGAGTATGTTAAACCTACCAGAAACAGGAATACTTACACTTGTTTCCAACACTGGGTTTACTGCTCAGAACTTACCTTGCACATTGTTGTATAATGCTCTAACTATGGACAAAAAACCCTCACCTCAAAGAAGTGTATTTTAAAAATAGTATTCTATTCTCTGCCCTTATTCAGTGTTAGTGGAATGTACAAACATATTAAAATAAGCCTCAGACCTCAGTTGTCACCATTAAAAATCTCCAGGTCAATTCAGCTGCCAATTTGCCAAGGGCTAAGGTTTTCTTCCTTTCAAAAAAAAAAAAAAAAAAGGCAGCATAAGGTTTTCATTTTTCAAATTTTAAAATTAATGTAGTCTCAGCCAAGAAGTGTTTCCAATTTTACACCCCTTTTTCTGTTTAAACTCGTTTCTCCTGCTTCAACCCAGAGTGCAACATGAAATTAAGTCACAGATTTTCAAGTCTCCATCTATGCTTATTTAATCAAAAATGAGAGCCAGACAGTTATTCCCCTTGGAAGGAGCAAAGCAGCAATTCCTTGCTCAGAGGCGAGAAGTTTGCTAAAATCAAGCATCTCACATTTTTGAAGTATCATGCAGCTGAATACAACTGTATCAAAGTAACTTTCTGGAGAACTTGGGTTCCCAATTTCAACTTAATTGTATTTTTCAGTATTTAGTAGTATAAGCTACCATTTGTAATGTAATTTGCTCCTTTTACCATACCTGTTGTTCATTTCCACGAGATTGGCTATGCAGATGAAAAATGACATTAAAAAACACAAGCCCATGTAGTAAGAAATAATCACATTTGATTTAAAGATGTAAACATCATTCAGGAATCCTTAAAAAAAAAAAAAAAAGCAAAGATCACAGCAGACCTCTGACAGAAAAAAATGTAACATTAATTGTGGAGCAAGATGCTTTTGGAAAATTATCCTTTTTAAAATTTATAAATTTGTCTGAATAGTCAAATATATTTGTTCTGATTTGAGAAAAAGCCACTTTCTCAGCTGTGTTAGCCATCATCTGGATTATAACCATCCTCTTCTTTCAAGCTGAGAAAGCGGTTTGCTTTAATAATCAAAAAATATATAATCAATAAGCTTATATTTTATGTCTATCATCTTAAAATAGATATAAAAAAAGTGTAAAATTTAAAATTGCTATACACCTGACAGAACCACAGGAATGCCATTAGCGGTCCATTTTCAAAGCATAATTCAATACATGCCAACAAGCTGGTTTTGCATTACACAGAAAAACAGGTCAAAACTTAAACCCCCACATTCACTGACATGCATTACATGTGTTTTGCTGTCTTTTCTTGCTTTGGTGATTGCAGGTATGTTGAAATGTTTTGCATTACCAGAAGCAACTCTGTGAGAAGGGGCAGTCCCATCAAGAAAAAAAGGAAACTATCCAAATGGTTCAGGGTTTTTTTTCCCCTCTGCTCTCAGTTACCATTTTTGGAACCAGTGTATATTCACATTTGTTTGCATCTGGAAGTTCAAATAGTAGTGATCATCAAATGAAATGCATTTCTGTTTTAAGTGGGAAAATACCAACCTGGAACTAAGCTGTGATCAGTTTTAAACTTAGCCTCTTCCAAGTGTTCCTTCTGTGATGAACTCTTGAAGCATCTTTCTATCACTCGAAATGTTACCCACCCACCTTTCTAAAAGTGATTTGCTATTTGCTATTATAGAGAGGGGATCTGAAACCAAGGTTAAGCAAACCTTTTGGCTGTGGAAAAGAATATAAAACTCTCTCATAAATTTACTTGTCAGCAGCAAAAAGACTCTTCAAGTGTCTTAACCACTGTACAGCTTGATAGTTTTAATACTTCAACTTTTTTTTCCATTTTTCATTGTTGAAGAAATAATTTCACAATCTCAAATCAAAGTCAACACTGCAGTGAGGAGAGCTTTTCTACTTTATTACAAAGAGAAGAAGCCTTTATGTGGTCAGAAAATACAAGATTGATCTTTTTTTTTTTTTCTCTTCCTATGAAACGCTGCTGTTCAAACAGCCAGAGTGAATTGTCTCAGTTCACTTCTTTAAGTCCCATCACATTCACTTGGGTATGGATGTCCTTGGCTGCTGAAAATCTGGCCCTTTAGTGCACAGGGCGACAAAGTAGTCCCCTGACCAGCAGTTCCAGAATGTCCCGTTTTCATATATTGCATCCATGCACACCTCCTAAAAATGAGGTACAGCAGGGCAAACATTTTCCAAAATAGATGTCATATATATAATATATACACATTCGTACATACATACCTTTATTCATGTGATGTCCAAAAATTTAAAAAAAATGTACACATTTATTACAAAATCGTAACAAAGACTGGACAGTGTTTTGCTCATTCTGGAAAGATGAAGCTCAGTAATACACAACTCTGGAAACTAACCAGAGACTGTGGCAATATCTTTCTTCTAAACAGTCAGATATTCTTGCATTAAGCTTGGCGAAAACTGCCTTTCAAAAACAGAAGGGGAAGTAAAATGAAGGAAGCAAACCTTGCTCATCTTTCCAAATGAAATACGAGAAGGATCTTCACATAAAAATGCACAAACATTTTTTATTACCAATAGTGCTACAATGAACAATGCAAATTTTGTTGTCTAATTTTTTGTCTTTTTTCTTTTTTTTGTTTTTACATTTTGGAAAACTAAGTGGTAAACTTTTGTCAGTGTACTCGCTTGTCTTTACAGACCCAAGCTTGTCTGCTGGCAAAAAACAAAACAAAAACAAAAATTCAGACCCTGCTCAAACTAAAGAAAAACAATTACAAATTTAGTTGTTGGGCAGCACATAATTAGTAAGGCAGGACCTCAAATGGTGACCCTTCGCAATGAGCCAATTGCCAGATCCTCAAGGAATTAAAACCAGGATGCCTGAGCCACATCAGTTCTGCAGTTATGTTGAGTATTGTGCTGAGACAGCCATACCCCAAGAAAAGGGAAGTCTTTAGAAGGCTTGCTGAGCAGGGTTGTAGTTGAAGGTTGATGGCAGATGAGGCCTTTCTTCTAATTTGTCATATTCCAGATGGAACTCCTACAATTAAAATAATAAATAAAAAAAAGACAAAACCAAATAAAATAATGTATCATTTAGCTGTCAAGACCTGGTCTTTCTAGAAAAGCACAAATACAGAAGGGATCAATCTTAAGAAATCAGTTACACATGATTTCACTATCTTGGACTCTATATTTTAAGTAGAAAAAAGTCCTAAGCCATTATACCTGCAACTTGTAGGCTCTCCTACTCTTTTTAATGCTTCATTACTCTCAGAACCTTAGTTATGATCTCAAACAATTTTATATATGCACACACACAAAACACAAATACACAATCACAGCGTGAGCTGAATTATGAATAAAAGCTTCTGTCTTTCAACATGTCAGATGTACAGAGACTTATTTCGGACAACCTGAAATGTGTGGATATATTTCAGATCCTTTCAGCAGTTTAACCGTGTCTCATCCACACTTTATCTTCACTCAAGAAAGAGTAAGCAGAAGTTTCAGAATTGTTCTTTATGGGTACCTTCTTGGTAATTCAAAACAGCTACCTTGGACACACAGTCATTTTTTTTGCCTAACTCAGTGGAGAACCTCAGCAGAATATCATCTACATCTGCAGAGCAAACTTACCCCACTATTTTTACATACAGATGAAAACACTAACATAGTGAATTTATTATTTTAGAACACTCCCTAAAGTGATTAAATAGTATACTATTTCATTTTTTACACGTAGACAAACTAAATTAAAGACCAAGTCAATGAAAGACTAAAAATAAAATCTAGGAAACTGAATCCTCAGACCTCACTCCTTTAAGGCAAAACAAGGTCCACCTAGCACAGAAAAAACATTCAGCATGGTAAGGAAACAAAGTAGGGGAAAATGCTAAGCATTCAGTAAGTCTGTATTCCCTAGAAAATACTGTCCCTAAACCTGGAAAATCCTAGCAAAACCTATGAGAGGTCAGTGTCTGCACTGAAGTGCTGCACATCTGCTTCATTTATGGTTCCCTGTTCTCTACTCCAACCACGGTGTTTTTTAGTTGGGTTTTCTTTTATTTTGGTGGTGGGTTGGTTTGTTTGGGCTTTTTTAGGTTGTATATACAAGTCAATTGCTTTTGGAATTCCTAATTACCACTGCATATCAGCTGGTGTATGTTCTCTTTTTGTGGAGACACATACACATGCTGATACTGAAGAGATGCATTCTCCCGCCCTTTGTCAAAAGCAGTATCAAGGTGTACAAATCTATGTAGGTGTTTTGGTGTCAAAGGCTGGTTCAGGCTGGGTGGATCTTCAGTAATTCTGAAGTAATTTTAGAACAGAAAAAACACCACTCAAACTTCTCTCCCTTTCATGGAGTTCAAAGTCTCCATTTTGCACATAAACACAGAAGGGTCTGCAGATTACTATCAATCTACCATCAGCTTCAATCAGTTACCTAAATATCCACGCGCTCTGAAATGCCTTCAGAATCACCCACGGAAAACGGCTACTTAAACCAGTAGGACAGTATCAGTAGTCTAAAAACGGCTTTCCAAACTTAAGGTGGTTGCATGCCTCTACTGGCAGTAGTAGCTACGAGCAAGGTGTATGTCAAAGAAACACTCAGTAGCTTGAGCAGTCATTCGTGTGCCATGAACTGGAAGCTCCTCATTTAGAAGGAGGAATATGACCCTACCAAATTTTCTTTAGAAGTATGTGAGTTCATACTTGAAGCTACCATTGTTTTTTAAAATAAACAGGCTTAAAACAGCTTTTTTGATTTGCATCCCAGTGTCAGCAACGCTCAAGTCCAATATCCAGCAGTGTATAAGAAAGAATAGCTAGAGATGTATCTGACAATACAAAAAAAGAACTCATTGACCAAGTATTTTTGAAAACTAAAAGGCAATTATTTATTACATATAGAATAATACTTGTATTACATGTATACTTCATGTTTTCACTTTTGATTCCAGGGGCCACTGTGTTTGAGGATGTGAACAGTAGAACCGATACTTCTTAATATAAACAGATACAAATAAAATGTAAAAGAAATGCCATTTATCCATTGACAAACATCTGTTAAATTGTTTTATTTTCCACGTGGAAGTAATTACTGAAAATTATCTATTATTAACCATGAATAATGAATACTAAATGTGTGTGGAAGCTTACAGCACATGTACGACACTAAATAATTTGTTCAATGCAAAGAAATCAATCGCTTCTCATGTCATCCTGAAAACTTATTTTGATGGTAAAGTTACATCACCCTGCACATGTACACACAATAATACGTAAGAATACTAAAGATAGAAGAGGATTTCTTAAGATGATCTACAGCATTAAGAGTGAAACAAACAAACAAAAAAAATAGCAGAATAAGCAGTGTCCTGAGGACAAACTATTCTGAACTGTGTAAATCCGTAAATCCATCAAAGGAGATGGTAGAAATTCCATTATTAGCTCAAAAATTCCAAATGGGCCCAAAAAACCAGCATTTATACTGGCTTAAAGGTGGATGCAAAGACCCAAATTTAAATTAAGGGCTGAATTAAAATGCTATTGTACATCTCTATTAGAAGAACAAATTTAACTTTCGAGCAATAATAGAAGTATTTAAATTAATATTGATCTTAAAAGAATAGGGAGTCACTTAGTATAGGCAACAACCCTCACAAGCAAATAAACACTTGAAAATTTAACCTTCTCTCCCCTAAAGAATTCCACGTATAATAACTGCAAAATCAAAGTAAAAGGGTTTTATAATCTCATTCCTTAAAGGGGATTAATTCCTTTTTTAAAGAAGACATTTACAGTTCACTTCAATCAGGATTTCAGTAAATGTACAATTGTAGAAAGCATTTTTGGTGTCATATCCACTTCCCTTCCTCTCATCTCCTCAATAGCAGCAAACTATATAGCCAAATCCTCAGTGAAATATCAGTGTCTTTAACCATACTGTACTTTCCACATGCCCTAGGATGAAAAACCATATATACAGACATATCTGTAATCAGCATTTTCCTGCATTTTGTTTTGCATTTAAGTGAATTTGAGTTTACTGTAATCCTTTTTTTTCCACTATTTACTACCACGTATCAACACAGAATTAATTTGATTTTATTCCCTAACAGTTTAGGAATTGTCTCATTGCTCATCTGTTTTGGTGTTAGGAATATAAAAAGAGAGCCTACAGCTTAATAAAATTTTCTCAAAAGAAGTTATTCAGTCTACTTTACTGGGCTTTGTTAAAACCAATCTAGGACACTATCAAAAAATCTGTTAAACCACATTGGATTTATATTTTTGCAAACAGTCTTAAGATTTAGTAACATGATCCAAAGTAAACATATTTCACTGTATCTATCATAATGCAGTATAATTTAAAATAGGTCCAATAAATACATAAGCTCACAATGCATAAAGCACCATGTCTGCAAAGCACAGCATGTTAAAATATGTGCTGCCCTATATTTGAGCATATACACTAGAACAACAGATCAAATTTATAAAGCACCTTGAAAAACAATTGAATTTGCACGTATAAGAAACAGTAATTTACCAGAAATTATTCTTGTCTGACTGCTTTAAAAGAGGACTAATGAAACTGTTACACAGCAATTAATATTGTGGCCTTTTAAGGAACTGATATTTTCAGCATCCACTAATAACGTAGCAGTTACACTAAGAGACTGCACTTTATCCCAATTATTTCTTCTCCCCCCCCCTTATACTTTTAATTTCCTGAAACATTAATTAACGTTTCTGCATTTGTTAGAAAAAATTACTTGGCCATACTTATCTTTGCATTCAAAACAACATGGAGTTATCAAATACTGCCATTCTTGTTATGATAAGCCTATGCTAGTCTTTCTCCAAGGAAATGTCAACTCCAGAAACTAGTATCAGAGGTAGACAAAATTACCATATAATGCTAAGATCACACCGGACACACCTCTAAGTTCTTATTTATCATGGATGGAAACATCACAGAATTATTTCTAGCAAGCGATTCCTTTTCCATGTAAAAACACAGCAATTTTCCCCCACATCCTTCTCTACCTTCCTGTGATCAATACTCAACTTGCCTGCTGTAATTTTGCACCAAACTAAAGTTAAATAAAGATTTCAAAATAATATGCCAGTTCCAATTTTAACATTAATAAATACAGAAACCTGAAAGAAAATATATTATCTCTTCCTATGGACACTGCGGGGGGTGGAAATCAGTCATGTTCCTTGTTCATTTTTACCTCTGCAGCAGTAACTTCAGAAAATACTATCCCTCTCCTTACTAGCTATCAATTGCTTCTTAATGTTAGGGGAATTATTTTCACTGTGCAAAGTAGAGAGAAGAGAATGTGTGTTGATCTTGAGTGAAATAATTTGGAGAACAGTAATGATTTATATCTTTCACCACAGCATCTCCAGGAATGCCCAACAGAAGAGGCCAGCTCTACTCTTTAGAAGAGGAAGGGTGTAATGTGCTAATTAACAGTTCAAGCACTGGATGCCAAATTTTGAGACAGCATTCAAGACTTCAAGTAGAGATAATACTGTCTTGAAAAGTAATGCTTAAGCATCAAGTAGCAACTTCATACATTTACTATAGGAAGAAAAAAGAAGAGACACTAATGAGGTTACTATTCCTTATACAATGGGCACCACTTCCTCCTAGTAAAAGGAACGTCGTGTTTCCACATAGGGTAAAAACTCAGTTCCACTGATATATGAACTTACGTGCAGCTTTTATAGCTCATAAATAAATGGAACATATTCAGATGACTCCAAAGAAGAAATCTATCCTTTCAAAAAGGTAATTACCTCCCCTCTGATGATCTTACAGAATAAGAAAATAGCTTTAAACAGCATATTGGGAAACCAAAGAAAGTATACCAAGCAACAAATAAATAATGCAAATAGAAATTAAAACTTTCCTTTTGTTTGGGTTTTGAGGGGAGCAATGCTTTTGTTTAGAAGTTGTGGAATTACCTTACACTTATGAAAAAACGTACAAGTAGGGCTTGCAATTAAAACATTCCATTACAAATCTCAGTTTTCTTACAGTCGTAAGAAAGCTAGCAAATGCAATGAGTCACATGCACACAAATGGACTGAAGGGCCTCTCATATCATTTGGGGCAACTAAAACTTTAGTTTCCGAGGGGAGCTTGAACAGACTAAGCAAGTTTACTGGGGGAAAGAAAGAAAGAAAAAAGAGCATCATATCTAATCTCTAGATGATGGCAAACTTCAATATACTGGTTAGGAAGAAATATAATGCACTTAGAGGGGAGAACACTGAACCTTATGCCCTTTAATTTAAGGATCATGTTTAAGACACATCAACAGACATGTAACTATTTAATGTAATATTTCATAATCTCCAAGTGTATAGACACAACTTGCTCACAGAAATGAAATGCTTTCTGAGCAAATGATTCGTAAATTAGGTTCCAGGTGAAAAGATTTCTGATTAAATTAAATGCCTAAGTATAGGGAACCAAAACCACAGTTCCAACATACGGCAATCAGATCCATTGAGTTCAAGGTGTCAAGATTAATTTGGTCTGATGGGTTTTTTAGAGAAAAGCAAGAGTTTGATAATGTATCTACAGAAGGTCTGACATGGAAGTTTTAGGTTTGTTCTTTCATTGAAGAATCTTACATGTTGGTTAAAACTTAAAGCAAAATCATGCCACATCTGTAACATTTCAGATAACCAAACTTAAGTGGAGAATGAGATTCCTGACAAACTCACTCAGACTCTAGGTAAGCATAATGGTTGTATGCATATTGTGTACGTATCTATTTTTCAGCTCCAGATGAAGCTGAATACATTATTTTGTATGGCAGGCTATTTTCAAAAGAGCACACCTCTTGCCAGGTTAGTGAATGTCAGCAATCCTGATTACTCAAGTAGTGTTTTGACATGTATCTACATTAGAAAAATCTTTACTTTAGTGGGGGAGAAAAATCACAGAAATCATGATCCAGCCAGCAAAAGACATCATACAATATAGTCTCAAAAGCTGCAAGCTGGAATTGGAACTTGGACAATCTTAAAAGTTGAAAGATATTAAAAATTAATTATCTTTGGGGGAGGGTGGAGAAAATTAAGCAAAACTCTAACTTTCTTCAGCTAACAAGGGTGAACATTACTGACAGTATTCATGGACAGAAAGGAACAAATATATTAGGAGAAGGGGAAAAGGGAAAGACTGTAGCTTTTTGATTTTTTAATGCCTCTTCGGCTAGAATATAGAAAACAAGCATCATGAAAATATGCCTCCACCCTAAAAGAAGTGATTTATTTCAAAGTACTCTGATATTCAAACAACAGAGCACAGAAATCCTGCAGTATGCTCAAGGAGAGACAGTACCTGAAAAAACAAAAAAACCCACCACCCCACTCATCACACCCTTATTTTTAATTCTAAAGTGAGATACGGTAGCTCCCTATTTAATTTTTAAATAATAAAATATTTGCAAACATAATTTCTAAAGTGCCAGATTTTTTCTATTCTGTAATTCTGTACCTGAAAAAAAGCTTTCAATTTTAACAAAACTCATAATAGAAGTTCTACGTTCTCGTACCTCCCAAAGAAAACTGGAAATAGAGAGACAGCTCCTCCTTTTCCACAATCAAGCCAGTGTTTTATGCAATCTTTATTCCCTCACACATCAGAAGTTAAGATAATCTACTTAAACAACACGAAGTTAAAATGTTTGAGATTTTTGGGAAGTATGTTGGGTTTTACTTTTGTCCTTCTAAAAATACATGGCTGACAGACTTAAAAAAAATCTGCACAAGGGAAAAGAGATACCTTAGCTACTTTCCTCCAGTTAAGACAGTCAAAGAAGTAATATGTTCCCCTCTCGTACGTATTGGTTTTCATTGTTGGCTCCATTCCGGGTGCCCTGGTGATCCATACTCGTTCTTCTTTGTGGTATCTCCAATCCCGGTTAAATCTTTCATTTTCAGTAGGAAGGAAGAATAATTTAGTGTTAGTTATCTGAATCTGACTTAATAAACTAAAATTTTAAGGGTTTCAATCGAAACTGTACAATGCATTCAAAATCAAAACAAAATTTCTAAGACATCATTATACCTGTGATCTCATACCTCTTCCATACAATTATTACTCCTCAAGTTAATAACATGAAATTTTAAGAAATCTTAGGTTCAAAAACCAAACACTTTTTATGATTACTGTTTTTCATTTTGTTGAAGATAGATAAATTAACGTTTAGTAACGACTGGCACCTGACACTTTTTCAAAGTGCTCTATAATAACGCAAAATTCACGAGACAGACTTTTGATTTCCACTATATGAATGAAAAAAAAGTACAGAGTGGAACCAAGGTTGGAGGAGGTATTTAAAAAAACGTTTCCAGCTTTAGATTGACTAAGCTTCTGGTTTTAGTGTCTAATTTGTTGGGGTTTTTTGTTTGTTTGTTTTTTCACATCCACTACTTCATTACTGCAATAGATTAAATCATATAAGACTGACAAAATAGTTTGAACGTACAGCTCTACTGCTGCTAATAGCTGTAATACATCTCCTCCATTCATGTAATAGAGATAAAACAGGAGATCTTCTCCATATCGGCCAAGTTTTATTGCAGCCAGCTGCAAAAGATTGAAGAAAATGAGGATGAAAAATCACAATAGATAAATGTTTTAAGACATACTATCCCACTTAAATAACACATGGATACATCCAGTATGTGCTTCCATCCTAAGTGTGTTGCAATGATACTCTAATATAACAAGAATAGTAATTAAAACAATCATTTTTTCACTTATAGTTAACCTTTCCAACTTAAAGGATACAAAAGAAAAATAAACAGAAATAACAAATCAGCAAGATAGAATTTTCTCCCTGTGCCTGTGTACCCTCATCTACTTTTTTTTATTAACAAAACATTTATGTGTATTTGCTCACTTCACACTCTATTAAGTAACATTACTAAAATTTCTTACAATACTTCTCAATGATCCCTCTTACAGAACTACAATAGTTGAAAGAAAATATATCTAACAAAAAAAAATAAAAATCCCTATTCATGTAGATATGGAATGCATCAGATAAATGTGAGAATATCTTGAACCACAATTCTGAGCTTACTTCAAGAAAAAAAATCCCAATTTAATATGGTATTTGAATATTACAGTATGTGGACTCTAAGAAACTTCTGCTTTGTATGAAGGGCAAAGTCTTAAAAACATAATGTGCTCTTTTGCTAACCATGCCCATGCTCAGTTTCATCTTCCCTTTCTAAGATGGAATGGGTGCACGATGTGTCCAGTTAGCTGGTTAACACACCACTATTCCTAAAAAGATTGAGAACAGCCATAATAAAATGCACTTATTTTGAACATTACCTATTTGAAAGAAAATTTAGAAAATCACTGGTAATAAATTAACAACAAAATACGCACACACACACATACTCACCTTATCCCTAATGTGAATGTTAGTTAAGTATTCAGATGGAACATGGAAGTCTAAAAAAGAATCGGAATTGATGCAACTATTAAGACATGTAAATGAATATAATTTGCAAATATTAATATTGAATTAAATAGTTATTTCTCTCTTACCTATGTCTTGAGGTCGACAAGGTGATGATGCCCAGGGTGATGCAAATTTGGGATAGAGATTTCTGAAGAAAAAGAAAAGCACAAACTTATTAAAATTTAAACCAAAACCCAAACAAACCAAATAAAAGAACTCCATAACCAACCACACAAACCTAAAAGCCATACCGACACAACCAAAATCACTAGCTAGGGCGAGAAGGAAGAATAGAAAAAAATTTCCAGCCCACTTTCCTAAAAGCTACTCTTTTTAAAGTTTTTGGGTTTTTTAATATGTTGAGTAAGATTGCATTTAAACTGCCACGGGAATCCACAGGATCAGGATTTCCCTTTCAATCTATTATTCCTTCAACTTAAATGCCAGGGATCCCAATCCTCTTCAGGGATACAATTTTACATGGGGTTTCACTTTGTGTAGGAACAGCTGCCACAAGCCTGGCGGGTTCTGGTTCATTAGCCTATAATTTAAAAGGTGAGGAAAAGCTAATTATACTGGTAGATAACTTTTTTTTTTTTAAACTAAAATTGAAGATTTTACTCTTCTTCTAAACTTCCGTAACAACAAATAAGTTGTCCCAGCACAACATGAACATAAGTTTATTATGATTTAGTATTTTTCTTTCATATAGAGTTCGCTAACATGTATTTTTTAGAAAACATTGAGCCATTAGTTTAATAAAAGAGAAAATGATGAACCTTCTAACTCTGCTAAAATGACTGATGTAATGAGGAATAAGTTTTCTAATTAACAGGTAAAGAAGTGAAAAAAAGAACTGAGCAAAATGTACTTTTGGCAGGTAGATACAGCCTGCTTTTAATTATTCATGATAGTGTGCTATAATGGCAAATTTTGTAAATGAAACTTGAGTATAGTACACCCTATCAAATCCTTGATTCTGTCCTGTCAAAGGCCTAATAATTACTATAAAAAATATTGGAAACCTATGAAATGACCTGAACACAACCAACTCCCAGCTGAGCCGTATGGGCCAAAAACTACACTGATCAAGTGGTGTCAGTCTTATTCTAGGCTAACTAATCTTACTATTAGCAAAAACTTATGCTTTAGAGCCTGAAGCAAGATTTCAGTGGCAAAACCTGCAGATGTTGAAAACAACAAAACCATTCCTTCTACTGAAAGCATAGATAGATATTGCACCAAGAAGACGATTGTCATGCATGCCCTAGAGGTTTGGTTTCCTAGGGCAAAGAATCCAGGATTTTAGAGACTCAGACTGCACATCTGTATGCAGTACGAACTGCAGAGTTTGTGCACAGTGTTCCCTCTATGATACAAATAAAACGCTATTAATTTAATATTTTTCAAGGAGGTATTGGACAGCCTATAATCTATTTGATCAATATTTCAGAAAGCTTCAGAACTTGAACGAACAGCTACATAACCTCTAAAGAGTGAAGTGAAGTTTGGGTTTTTTTAATTTTTGTTTATGTAGAATTTTAAGTTCTCTGAAAGAATTAAAAGCATATTTCTTAAATAAATATAGGACTGTGCAGGCAATACATAATCATTTTTTCAACAAACAAAATAATCTTAACCTCCCCTGCACAGAAAATCTATATAAAATCAGTATTTAGAAGGGTTAATTCAAACCATTAGAGATATATACAGAATTCTAAAATTTTGTTTCTAAAAGCACATTTATTGTGCTAAGTGTTTAAGTGAGTCAGATATTTTTACCATCAGAAGCAGAAAATTTCAGCTTTCCACATGTGAAATGCTTTTAATTTTTTAAATGACAAATCATAAAGCAAGAAAAGGATTAACATAAGGCAAGATGGCAGGCCACACACTGGGGACTGCACAGGCTGTTTGCAAAGCTTTCCTATATTATAAAATAAAATCAACTTTATGAGACAGAACTGCCTGGATTAAATATTAACCCTGTCCCCTCCATCCAAGACCCTAAATACCCTACATAAAAAAATAAATAGTAAGTATTAAAAATCCAGCTATTTACTGCACAGTTGCTAAGGAACAACAGCAGCACACTACGTATATATACTGTTCATGCACAAACACAAATAATTTGGATGCTGTTTTCAAGAGCTGCATAACACAGCTACAAGTCATTCCAGCATCAAAGTATGCTTCTTTTGCAGTGAGGTACTGTATAAATCTATGAGGTTTTATGTTCACTATTCAATAGCTATGTTAACATTAAGCTTTATGTTAGTCATTAAAACTAATGAATCACATCGAATAAAATATGAAATAGTATCCCCAGGAGCAGTGTCACTATTACTTTTCTGCAGGCCAACACCTAGAGAAAGTAGCTGTATAACCAAATGACATAACCAGATTCTACCTGTGTCTGGAAGAACTCAAGAATTTAGATACAGATGTACTTGGAATTATTTCAATGAGCAAAGACATTCTGCTTTCAGCTGATCAGCCTCAAGTTAAGTTTGAGCAATCTGTACTAAAGAACAGTAAATTATTTAAGTATTGTGTAGATCCAGAAGACTGGTCTCCCAGTCAGTGCTGTAAGCTCTGGAACTACCAAGAACAAGTAGCAACCCATGGCCAGTATAGCTGTTCCTTATGTTATGGGAGAAGGGGATGGAACTGGGGAAACTACTCGGTTCAAGGGAGAAGTGACCTGTGAAACCAACACTACATGTGGAGAAGATACTATGTTAAGGCAACTGACTTTGAACATCACTCTGAAGTGCCAATGGCATAACTACTTGACTAGGTTTTGATGCAAGCTCTATAGAAGGAATATATGGAAATGGCAAGTTCTAAAAGTTAGATCTCTAGAAGAAACCCCCCATAAATTAATGACAATTATTTCAAGACAGCTGTTTTCCCTGTGCTTTGCCTCTCATCTTGATATCCACATTCATCGATCTTCTCTGATTATATGCAGCTCCATATAAATTTGTGAAACCTGAAAACTGTGTGTAGGTTGTTTGGTCTTTGTTTTGTTAATATATGATGTGCAAACCTTAAAATACATATACTACTCTGTCAATAAGGCTAATGCTATGTAAAACTCTGCTGAAACAAAATGATGGGAGATTCTCAGCTGAAAGTCAAAGTACCAGAAATAAAATTTCTCTCACAGTTACAGTCATCTAGAAGATACAAGTCTTATCCAAACTGAACTAGATTCCTCCTGTAACTAGTGGAGAAAGGCATGCACCCTGGGCTGATGATTCATCTGACTTATCTTAAGCAGTTATCTTACCATTAGTGCAGTCCCTAACTGCTTTTCTCCCCACTGCCTCTACAGAAAGCCTAGATGACTAAACTTATGTGAACTGAAAAACTAAAAGCTAACTATAAAACTACATTTTCATTTAAATTAATCTTTGATGTAGGGTAATGCCGCAGTTGCTCTGTTCATTATTACACTAATATAAATTGAATTTATCCCCCAAACTGCTGAGAGTTAAGTGCAAATATCCTCAGTGAGTATTATTATTTGGAAAATAATGTATATATGGAATTTATTAACAATACACTCTCCTTGAAGAAAGTCCTAAAGAAGTTAGAAGGTGAATAAGCAAAGCCACTGGGTTTACTGAAAGCTTGCAAAGCAAGATCTCAGTATGCCTCAAAGCACAATTCTCTTACTTATGAAAATTCTGTTTTACTGTCATTACATTTTCAAATTTTATTCGGCAAAGTATCTTGTGGGTTTGATAGCCATGTGAGCTACGTAAGCCTATTAAAAATGACAGCATAATAAAACCAAAACCAAAGACAGTACTAAAAAAACCAGAAACTTACTCAGGAGAGTTGAGATTGAGACCTAGTGTTGTTAAATCACTTCCTAATGCAAGATGTACCATTCCTGGATCTGTCTCTGCTGCCCTGATGAATGTTAACAAGCCAATCATCCCAAACTGATCCGTCACCATCCCTTGAGGAATGTTGGTAACCCGACCTGGGCAAGAAGAACAAATTAATTTTCTCCTTTCAAGAAGTGGAGGAATCATCACTAAATGACTGCCAAAACTTTTAAAGAAGAAAAAGAGGAATTAGACATACCATCAGGTAACACCTGGATCCCTTTTTTCTGCTGGTTGTTGTTTTGCGTAGTCGAACTTTTATCTCCAGGAAACTTGGGCCCATCTGTGCTGGATGATGTTTTGCCTGATGTACTCAAATTCTATTAAAAATAATTTGCAGAGTTGGTATGATGGAAACAAACCAAAATGGATAAACTTGTTGACCATATCTTTCAGTCAAACACTCTAAACCAGTATGCCAAGTCACTCATAAATTAGGCACTAAAATGGAACCAAGCTGAAGCTCCCGAGCTCTGTTGACAAACTGCATGCAATATTTACCTCTTCCTGAAGTAAACCTTTATATATAAAGGTCATTGATAACTCCTATTGTACGACATACATACATATATAAAAGTCCTACAGTAAGAGCTATTAATGAGCCAACAGCTTGCAGTCTAAAAGGATAATAAAGTATTTTACACCTGAGTTTGCATACATAATAGATATCCCCAGTGTCTGTGACCAGAGGATATTTTGGACTCATTGTATCATATTTTTTTCCCATACAGTCTTGCTCCTGCATAACACGCCATGATGTAGCAACAGATAACAACTCAAGACAACTTCAGATGTAAGCAACATACAGTTGCCACATATCCAACTATTAGGGAAGAGATGTAAACACTCTGTCTGGCAAGAAAACTGTGTCTGTGCTCCAGGAGAGCATATACTGACATAAGGTACTCTCCATAACTATTACTTGTTTTAAAGAATAATAAAAGAGTAAGAAGTCTGCAGTGACACAGTGTAATCACATTTACTCCTTCCTTCTTTACTGTATTGAAACATTTTCCACACGATAAACCTGGTCACAGCATTTAGGGGCTAAGCTTCCCCCATCCCTTTATTGAACAATTACATTTTTCAGTTTTCACGTGAATTTCCGTCCCATTTACTACTTACTCATCAGTATTTATGCCATCCTGATTAACATTTTTTGCAATTATAATTAAAAATTCCTAAGAACTAGAACATTTTGTCAAATACTGTAGGAAGCTGTTCTCTGCTATGAAAGTTTTATTCACTTTTCATTTGGAATAAAAAAAAGCAATTATTACAAATCTTTCAGAGTAAACAGTGAAAAACACTCCACAAACTTATGATCAGAGCTATATATCTAATGCATGACACAACACTACTTAAGGTCAGATGTACCCACCAGTCTACATTACACCCATGAATGCAACAGTCTCTATTAAAAGAGCTTGTTCCCTGTAATTTCATTTCCTCAACAAGAATTTTACCTTGAAGTGATATTGCATCACCTAACTTTTAAAGGATTTGACAGCTTGGAAGAAAGATGTTGTAAGCTGTAAATTGCTACTATTGAGAGGCATCAACAGCAAAAAATGAGCTGGAATTGGTAGAAAAAGAAATTATGAATTGCCAAACTTGAAAAATATGTATCAATTCTCAAAAATAAATTTTGAGGTGTTCCTGCAAGTTTCTCCCTGGCCCCTCCCCCAAATATGAAAGGATACACATAAGTCATAGGAAATTAAGAAAGCAAGGTCATGGTGACCAAAAAACTTCCTAAGAAATTCCACTTACATAGTTATATATGAAATGCTGCTTATGCAAAATTTCTTGTTAATTTCAAGGGGCAAATTTGAAAATTTTTTTATTACAAATATAATCATTGTCCATTTTAAAATATAATCAAAAGTAGTATGAACACTCAAAAGAAAAAAAGATTTAAGGTTTCCTTACAGATTTATTGTCATCATTACTCGATGTTGGGTCTTTGTAGCTGGAGCCTGGTAATGCTGGAAAATCTTCATTGTGTATTGAAAAGTCCTGGGACTGCTCACTTGCTGGTTTTGTTACCATTCCAACTATGATCAAAATGAAAGCAGGAATAACATTAAACGACTGCTAAGTAAAAAAATTTTCTGCTGTTGATCTTGCTTACTGCCCATTTTCACTATGTGCAAGCTGTACAGCAGAAACAACTTTCAGAAAACCAGGTAAACCAAAACAAAGCATATCCATTTAAAACATCCACACATATTAGACTAAAGCCTCTTAAATAAGTGTGAGGTAAGAAACACTCCGGGTTAAATTCATAAGACACATCCACTGCTTTAAGACTGAAGCCCAGTATTTTTACCAGGAACAGCACCTGTTTTGCACATCTAAATGACCAAATAATCTTTACAGGCATTATTAAAGCGGTATTTAAGGAAATCCACTGATGAAGGAAGGATGTACTGCTTTTAAGATTATAATACATTCTTCCTCCATTCCCTAATTGCATGAAGAATTTCTTAGCATAATCTCTCTAGAAGCATGTATTCTTAAAAGGATGCCCAGCTAACTTGCAACAGAACATATCACCAATGAAATACTTGCCTGTGACATAAGAACGACTCCTACTTTCAGTATGAAAACTGAAAGCATTTAGCCTGCAACTCTCAGTGCTCTGACCCTAATTTAAAAAAAGTAGGCCAGTCACATTGGAACATGGATTCCGACTACTGAAAAGCAACATTTTTTTTTTTAATGCCAGTTTAAAAAAAAAAAATAATCCAAAACAAAACAAAAACCCCCCAAAACTTTCAAACAACCAAAGAAAAGCCCCCATATAACACACCCAAGGGCAAATATTCTTTGCTGAGGGATAGAAAAGTGATTTGACTGTGAACAACACTGCATTTAGAGGAATAGAAGACAGAAGGAAGTCTAGGGACTATTTTTCAAAGATTTTTAATAGATGTATAGGATCCAAAATGCTTCAGTAGATGACTATATATTACTTTCTCTAGTATTCTGAAGTTAGAGAACAAAGTTCCTTTATTTAAGAAAAAAATCCCACTGAATTAATCTTGTTTCTGCTGTTCACCCTTTTAATCCAGAGTTATTACAGTTTCTTCCACTGGATGAATAAAACTGATAATGAATTAACTGTGTTGCATATTAGACAGAATGCATATTCTCATTCTATCAAAGTTTTTTGAAGTCTAATTTTCCTGAATAAGCTAAGCATGAAGAAAGTACATCTCTGCTCAGTTTCCAGCCTTCTTTTTCTTGACCACAACCAAAAAGCACTCTCCACTTTTTGTTGCTGGAAGGCAGTGTCCAGTGCATCTCATATCCCCATTTCTTGATTGTTTCTACCACCATACCCATCCCCTGCATTAAGCAGTTGCTCAAGATAACTCTTCAGACAGAGATTTATTTCCTAGTTCACCACACAGCATGTGAACGGCTACGCTAGCAGCAAAATGGGGAAATGGTGTAAGCATGGGTGCAATTACAGATTTTTCACACGGCAGGGCTGCTGAATGTTGAACTCCAGCTCCATGCTGGAAGTACATCTGTGTGGATCTCCTTCCTATCTCCTATCAATCTTCCATGTAATGGCTTCTTTTTCAGAGACAGACAAAAGATCATGTAAACCACAAGCTGTATTAGCTTTCCACACTCAGCGTGACTTTTCACAGTGTCTTTACTTGCAGAAGTGGCTTTTCCCTGTGTTTAGGAGCACTTCACTTTAACTTGTTGAGCTCTTTCTCACAGCTATCTTAAGCAGAGGGCCCTGGTTACGCCCAGTCCATGAGGCTACATTCTCCTGATAATGTGGTCTGTATTATTTCTCTCCAATTAGAGTTGGAGATATCTCTAAGACACTAGCTTTTTATAGTTAGAAAACACTAGGTTATTTTTGGTTGGAAGTTTGACAAGTGTCACAAAAATAACTTTAGGTTATAAAAACAACTTTTCAGAGTAGCTGATGCAACATGCATGACAAAATCTACTAAAGCAGTAACAAAAAAAGTATTGTGCCTCACGCTAAGCTTACCTGAATTTTTTCCAGACCCAAATAATAAGATTTGTATCCAACTTAAAGTTTTTCCTTTTATCATTTTTTGAGTTGTTCAGCAAGAATTATGTAAGACACAAATTTGGAATCTAACTGATAGTAGCTGATGCTTACAGGTTATTTTTTGAATCATAAGTTTGACAGTGAAGGGTATTACAGCAAGTACTGACAATAAACAGAGAAAATATACAATATGTTTACAGCTGCTGACTTTTTACACAGTAACACCTCTAGTAATCAAATATTATTTCTAAAATTTACTTCTCAGACCTTGACAGTTCTTGTATACACAAAATTTCTAGAGTGAGCAGCTTCAGAGCAATCATACTATCCAGACTGAAAACCCCAACAAGCTCTAATGACAGTGAAAATAAAGCAGGTAAGTTCTACTACTTACAAAAGCCTGAGGGGAATCTCCAATCACAGACATATATTATTTATTTCTAACAATTGAGACTTCGGAGCTCAAGTGTCTGGCATTTTTTAAAAGACTACCTATTGTCTTATAAACAGCAAAATGTGAATCAAGCAAATACCAATTTCATTCAAAGAGCTTTCAAATGTATAGTCTTACCATAGGGTGCCCTTCCAGCTAAAGGGTTTATTAATGGAGTTGGATTGCCACTTCCTTCCCTTCTGTTTCTGTCTGCTAGTGCTGGAAAATCTGAGAGGTCCAGTCCTGTCACATTTTCACTTCCATCTACAATAAAAAGAGATATTTTAAATTCCCTTCTGTTTTTCACTCAAAGACTTTGTTATGTGCAAGATAAATGTAGGATATATTTTATTTCTTCAAGTTATCTTTTTACTCTTACTATAATTATTACAAGTAACTACAGCCTCTCTGTTATGCAACTAGCCTAAAGAGCATCATGATGTTTGGGGTTTGTTTTTAAACAACAGTTAGTCAACACCATTTAGTAATGAGGTCTACTCATTTTGAATTAAAGATTGCACACAAAAAACATAGGCAGACCATCAAAGTTACAGTACCAAGACAGGTAGTCTGCTTAAAATTTAAGGAGCCATCAAGAAGAAATTTGAGAGACCCATATTAGCAGCAGCATCAAGAATCTCCTTTGTCCTTAGATAAGGTAGGATAAAGCTGAAGAAGTGTAGAGCAAATGTAGTGCAAGTTACATGGGAACATTTTTTGATTTGCAGCAGGAAACACTACATAGGTGAGGTCAGAATTGCGGCTCCGTAAAGATGTCACAAGGTCCTAGCGGATGCTCAAACCCTTCCACTCTGAGATCACCAGCACCTCAACTTTCTTCATATACATGGCCACCTACAGAAACGTCAGCACGGACAAACCTAAAGCATTTATGCACAAGGATGTTTTCCTCTATCTAGTTCATTAAAATTCAGGTGAAGAAGTAATTCCCAGAGAAAAATCACAACTGAAACAACTGACTGAAAGGATCCCACTATAAACCAGATGTTCAAAAGGAGTTTGAGATTTCAAAAACTGCTTTCCCACTATCTTTACCCTATATAACGTTGTCATAGAAAATGTACAATTTTTTTCTTCTCTGATTCCCTTTTAAATTCCATAAACGATTTTGCATTTCTAACCAACTAGGTATAATCTATAGTCATATGATATGCAGTGAGTATTCTACAGAATACTTTGTATTCTCCACTGTTACGTTATGAAGTAGTAACAGTTTCACAGCACCACTCTTGGAGCAGCACTTCCATGGAACTACTGAAAATTACCACAAAGTTACACTCCAGCAGAATAAAGGATTTTCAATTAGACTTATTTAGTCCAAAGAATCTCTCTACTGTACTTTAAGATCAATATTGATTAGAATAAACTCACCTGTTCCATTAAAAATGTTACTTGATAAGGAGTTATTCATTCCAAATGCCTGATTTCTGTTCATCCCAAATCCAGACATACTGTGAAAAAAAAATCCAGGAAGTCAGACAAAATGATACATATACTCCGTAATTTCAAGTGTTATTAAGACGGAAAGAAACCTAACACATTTGAATTATTTCACACATAAGCAACCCACAGTAAAACTCAGTTTTTATTTTCCTTTATGATTCTGAAAACTCAGCAGCAGGCACTGCTCAATCAAGACAGCTGGAATGACTTCAAAATAACTTAGTTTTTTTAATAGTCACTGTGTTTTAAGACATCTGTCAACCACCAAGTTACAACAAATATGATCATTACTCAATTTCACACAGAAAAATGAAGCAGCAGTAAATGCAACAGTGAAAAGTCAGACTGCAATCCATTCATTTGTAGGTGGGAAGCTGGATCATGGAAGTGATCAAGTTTGTCATGACTCAGCTATAAGCTGAACAGTTATGGTGTGCAATCATCACCATGTACATATGGCACCATTACAAGCATAGGGATGGTCTCTGCCACACAAGGACACCAGCTAAATTAAAGTTTCATATAGTCAGGCAAAAATGTTTGGAGGCATCTAAATATCATATAGTACTACTGTGGTTGGAAAGACCCTCACAAATGATCTGCTTCATTCGGTGTGAGCTGAAGATGTTGAGAAGCCCAAAGGTAGGCCCTAGCTGAGCAAAACTCTGAATTTCTGGCTGTGGGAAATCACAACATTTTTTTTTTTCCCCTGTAACAGGGTGGAAATTGATGCTTTAGAAGTTTCTGTACATAATGTCAAACATTTTCCTAATGGAAATTTCACCTACACAGACTTTTTCCACAGTTACAAATCTGAAGCACTTCATTCCAACTTGGAATAGCCTTAAATGCTTCATTTTGGATTGAGACATCAAGTGAACAGTTAGCAAAGACTGTGGACCTGTCCCACTTTGTTCCCTCTCTGCTTGTACTTGAAAGGCATCCAGACCTTTGACACATCTGAAGAGACACATTCCTGGTATCATCTATGAATTCTAGACTGGTGAGAGCACTAGAAGGAGATAATTCAATCCTGAAGACATATAATCTAGCCTGATGACAGATAGTATTTCTCATGCAAGGGTTTTTTTGTTTGCTTTTAAAGTAATTAGAAACAACCATGTTAAGAATTTCAGGGATAAGAAAGAGATTAGGCCACAAAATGTGTAGTTCTCTACAACTATTTGTAACCTGTTTTACCAATGTAAAGTAAGAAAGGGAGAGTGAAGTATTTTTTATATTCAAAAACCTAAAAACTTTCATCACTCCAACTAAGGCAACCATTCAGAAAACACTCCTTGGAACTCACATAATTCATGCATCTGTCAAGGAAACACCATAAATTTATTTTTCCAAGAATAATTTCAAAATTTTGTTAAATATATCCATTAACAGTTGGATATGTACTACTACTATACTTTTGTAGGCTAATAAACTATGGAACAAGAACTTATCATTGTTCCAGTCATATTTCCTTCTGAACTTGTAAAAATTGTATATCTCATTTTCAAGAGGCTACAACACAAACAGTGAGAGATGAAGATTTTAATTCAAATGCTCCTACAGACAGGGATTTTATTATCTACCCCTACAGCTGAATGACATTTAAAAAACTACTTTCTATACCTGTACCACTCTCAAATCATTGTCCTCTGCATGTAGAGTCTTTAAGTATATTACTATTTCAACCTTTTGTGATGCTCAAGTTTCAAAAATACTTCAAAATATAGAATTATCTTTTAAAATTATCATCTCCTTTACTTGCCGCTATACATCACAGGAAAGAAAAGACAAATTCTAGGTAATTAGAGGCAAGACACAAAGTCTTCTTGTGCTCCAAGAACATAAATCGCTATTACCAATTCTCTATTGCTGCAATTGAGAAAAGCATTTTTATGCCTGTATCAGTGTGAAGCTACAGAACTAAACAGCCTGACCAAGATTCAGATAACCATGACATTAGTTTTTACCTTCCTTAATCCATTTTGTAAAATACTAGATTGGGTTAGAGGTGGCACCTCAGTACCATGAGCTTGTTTGTGCTCTGTGTAAAGGCAGTACCCTAAGGAAGGGCCTGAAGGGTGAAAAAGGATGAAGCTGGGAGCACAGAGATTATGAGGTTGTGGAATGAGCCTGGAAAGCAGTCAGCTGTGCAAAGCTGTGACACATGTTAAATAATTAGAATCAACACAGTTTTTACTACAAGTTTATCAGTATGAACTAAGCATAAACACACCAAAACACATCATTAAAGCTTAATGATTTATGATTTTAGAATCTTGCCCAGAGTTAGAAAAAGAACAGAAGTGATTGAGAAGCTTTTGACATCCAAATGAGCACCAGATCATTAAATGAATGGCAAACCACCATTCCGTGCATTATTCCAGAATTTTAAAAAGTAATATACTAGGTCCCTACTGTGTCTGAATCAGTTAACAATTCTTTCAGAATAACTACTGTGTTTTTAAATCTTGCCTTACTTCTTCCTAAACTCATTGATGAACAGTCTTAAAATGGATGTATAGACCCAAAAATCAAGACATATTTCAAAACCAAACGGGAACACAGGAGAAACATCACATGTTTTAAAGCAGCAGCAGTAGAAATTCAATAGTCAGAAACAGAATATAGTTTAAAGGCCTCAAAAGGCTTGTGTGAATATTAAAAGCAGCTTCAAAGTTTACTGCCAAGACAAGAACACAGGAAGCAGCTTTTGAGCTTTATCCTAATGGATGAAAATTACATTTCCAGAGCAGCATTTAATCACGTCCATGGCTGTACAGGGATGGTCCAACTAAACAGCCTTACCTGTTCACAGTAAAAGGTTGTCGAGAGGGTTGCTGCTTTGGCATACATATTATGCTTGGAGAGCTTCTGTTGGGGCTGCCTAACCCTGAACTGCTCATGCTGTTTGTCCTGCTGGGAATTCCAATGCCCTGACCAACCTGGGAGTGGTTCATCATATTCCTAGGATTCATAGGCAATATCCCCCTGAAAGAGAAAAACCATCCACAGAGATGAATCTGTCCAATAGCATTTGGTTACTCATTTAGATTACTAACATAGGATGGACTCTGAGCTGTGGCAACTTAATTGGTGCTTAGCGTTAATACAGCATGTTTGGATTACTCTCTATAATTAATGTAGTTTTGGGTTTCTTCAGAAATACCAGGTGACCCATTACATACTAATCAAGTCCTTGGTCAGGTTTAGATAAATACTTAAGTATTATGCACTTGAAAAGGTGTTGTAGCTTTTTTTTTAATGAGCACCTCAGATCTACTACCTTACTATGCAGTGTATGATATCCATACAAAAACTTTAATCGTACATTTACCAGAACAATCAAAAAACAACTTCTTACATTCTGAAGCAGAATTTGCCAGCAATTTCTCCTTATGTACAGAAATTCAAATACTGTCTTGTAGTAAGCCCTTACTGTTTTACAGTATTATTTCCCTAAATACCCACAGGCAGTGGTCAAGAGAAACTACTTTTTGTCTTTTTTAACTAATCAGACTGTAAAGTAGTTGAGGCAAAATATGCAGAACATTTAACAAGAGCTCTGCAGAAAGACACAATCGCAGAAATATTGGCTATCAATAAATACCTGCTCGGAGATGGAGGCGTGTGAAGTGACATTGTTGGTACCCCTGTTGTTGGCGTTACGTGGCTCGGTAACTGAGTGCCTTGTGATAAGCTGCGATTTAACTGAGGGGTATTGTTGCTCATTCCCCTCATTGGAAGGCCTAGTGCACCTATTGAAAAAAAATTCAGAGGGGTGGAGATATAGATTCAGGAACAAAGTCTTCTCCATCAGATGTAGATGGAAACAATTTATGCTGACAACCTACAAAATGTGTAAAAATTAAGTCCTTGTTTGCATAGTAGAAGCCCAATTATCTCAAATTAAGCCCCATTTCTGTTAAACTTTAGAAAGGCTCTTTAAGGATATTCTGTATTTGAGTCAGTAACAAAGTTTTGTTTCTTTTGAGATGTATAATTTGAGAAAGGGTTCAGTTTTGAGTTTTTTGATGAGGACATGAAATTCTACAAATTATCTCAAAAAAGGCAGCATTTTGAGAAAATTAGTAACTGCACTCAAGAAATACATTACTTCTGAATAAACTAGTAGATACATTTGGCCAGTATTTAGAACACTGATTTGTTAAAAGTTAGGCAAACCTTTACTAAAAAAAGTAATTTATGAATATTTAGTTAACAATAACATTGCTTTTAGGACAACAAAAACAACATTTTAGGCCAGTTCTCTGTTAAGTCTAAGTTGCTTCTTTTTAATAACAGAACTTCAGTGTCCACAACCAAGTCAATCTTTTGACAAAAGAAAGCAAAATTTTAACTGCCCTCTATTAGCATTTAAAAATATACATAAGATTTTTAACATTATGATGAAAATATTTTTTTTTACACAAACAACTGGGTGTGACAGAATAAAGTAAGCACTTCAGTGAGGTAAAAAAAGAAATTGCTTTAACTCTGAACAGCTAAAGGTAACCAGTTGCTGCACTGGTTCAAAGTATCCAAAAACTTTATGAAGTTTCTTATCATTCTCACATCACTTTTCTGTGCTTATGAAGTTTGGAATGATGTTCGAAGGCAAGAAAAAGTCATTTAGTGCAACATATCAAATAGAAACAAACTTAGCATATAAAACGCGATAGCTGTAAGTAACAGTCCCTATTGCTTTGGCATAAGACTGCTGAGGTAGACTCACATAACTCAAAACCTTATCTGCAGACCAAACAAATGAAAAATTATCATGAATCAGCACTCTCCCATGGTAGATCACCCCAGCAGAACAGCTGAATATGTCAGTGTATAATGTGATCAAATATTAAGAATGTAAAGAAAGGATATAGCATGTGCTCAGGTTGTTATCATGGACAAGATCTGAAGAAACCTCCCAGTCATTTAGCGCTGTCACTTTAAGAACTGCTGTCTGTCCATGACCTACCCTACAATTTGCAATCCAAGAAGTCTGCAGTAACACTCAAAGTTTTGATAACACTCAAAATTATCTCTATACATTCAGATTGAGAAGTAGTGTGACTTGCTATAACAAGCCTCCTAAGACTTCATTAAATGCTGATTATATCAAGGTGTTCACGGTAAATATTTTGGCAATTTGCTGCATCAGAATAATTTCAAAGAGCATAAATATATATTATAAATAATATTTCATGCTAATTAACAATTATGTGGAATTTTAAAAATAAAATGGTAAAGAAAAAAATACATACACTTCCAAACTAGATACAGTACACTGAAAAACATGACTACAATATTCAGGTTAATTTTGTGCAAGCATTTGTTTCAGCAAAGCCTGTTTTACACTGATGGTTATTTCTTGTTGTTGGCTTTCTTTAAACTAGAATTATTAATGAGTAGGGCTGTTACAGTGCAGTAGAACCATCTTCCTGTGGCTGGCAAGTAGGTGCAGTTGAAATATTCACCAAAAGAAAAAAAAAAAGATATCTTTTTTCTTATGCTTCCTTTTTCCACTTTATCTGAGAGAAGAGATCAGCATGGGCTATATTGGAGACTGATCAATGAAGTGGTCCATTTCCTGACTAATAGTCAAGTTTAAGTTACTCTATAACATGACATCTTGCTTAATGATTGACAGCTACCAATCTAAAAGTCAGTTTATATTACATGGTCACTCATCAACAGCCACTGAGATAGTAAAAAACCACTGGTTTTTTATACTCTTTGAAGAAAGCCGAAAGAAGTTGTGAAGGCCATGCATCTAGCAGACAAAGCTTTTAGTATGTCCATATAAAAAGTCCAGACTCTCTAAAGTACTCTGAAGGTGTTTTTTCTTAGAATCCGAGTCAGATGCACTTGGCAAGAAAGTTGCAAACATTCAAAATCGTATGGTGATAAAGGAGAGATGTTCACAAACCCATTTTACTTGTGTAACTGTACCCAACTCAGATATTCTGAGTCACTTTCTGGCTGCACCTCTCAGCCTCGAGGAGGTTCAGTCCTCAATGCTGGCCCTTAAGTTAGGTGGCTAGCAATACACACTGTGACTGCTCCTTTATGGGTCCTTCTATTGCAACAATAAACACAAGACTGTCAGAGACAGAAAAAAAAATCTTCAAGGTATGGGAAAGAAACAAAGAGTGGTGCAGAAGGCAGTAATCTTACTGGTATAGTTCTTTGCCAAATGTGAGTTGCCAAGCATGTACACAAGATTTACTTTGCTCCTGTAGAGCATGAAATATCAGTTATAACAAGGTATAATTTCCTTCTATTCCTTACATACTGTCCTGAACTAGGTTCATTTTGGCCATGCTCATTTTCCTCAGTTTTCCTTCAGAGAGTCACAGTTAAATCACAGACATTCTTTACAGGAGGATTATATTTGGATATTTAGCAGTTATACAGTGTCAATATATGACACTCTGCATTCTAAACACTGCAAAAACGCATACTAAGCAAAGCAGAAATGTATCTTAAAATAAACCCACCCACAAATAAGGAGACATACTGTCTTTTTTTACAGTCACCAGAAAACAAAGCCATATGCATGTTCTCTATCCAAAGAGCATGAAACCAGAACATATTTAGCATAAAACAAACATATAATCAATAAAAAGAATTCTTACTTTGTTGCCCGTATAAACTTGCCCCAAACTGAGACAGCTGACCTGATGTTGATGGTGATGCCAGCATCTACAATGGAAGAGGAATAAAAGGTTATTAGACACAAAGATGCTGTGATATCTTGCTCTGTAATTTCACATAATACTGTTTTGCCAAGAAAGCCAAAACAGCAACTGAAAACTCCTTTTAAGTCATCGTTTTAGAAACTCCCTAAAATATCTGCACAGTAACAACTGCAACAGTATTGTTATTGCAATTGTTTTTGATATATATATATATATATATAAAACAATATCTTATTGCAATTATTATTATTGCAGCACATCAATAAAAACTCATGACTTTACATGTATAAAAACATTCTTTCTTTTACTTGTGACAAATAGCACAGAGGAAAAATATCTAAAAGCTTTCAGTTTTTCTACCCCTGTAGCTAAGAAAACTACCGTTACAGAATAAGGAATACTCAGTTATTTAAATCAGATATAGTTTTCCCCCCCTGGAAAACATGCATCATAGAAGACCAATCCCTGTTCAATGTGCTAACAGCAAGTGCAAAGTTTCATATTATCAGTTACAATAGCAAAAGGTGGGGAATGAGTGGCTACCTATCAGTAAGTATGTAGAAACAGGTATGAACTTCGGATAAGATTCCAATGCTAAAATTATAATGCACCTACTGCCCTAACAGCTGGCTTCATGCTTGTATACACTATATGAATTAGGTAAGATGTACAAATGTCACAAGTAATCTCTCCTGCTCTATTATGTCCACTTTAGAGACATTACATATTACCAAATATTTCCATTAAAACCTTCTTTGTCAACTTTCAGACATCACACAAGAAATGTGACAAACTAAAGAGACTCTTGGGAAAAGGAAGATTAAAAAAAAAAATAAAAATCACAATCTATGAAGAAAGATTAAGATTTGGGTTTGCATGCTTCAAAAAGAAGGCAACTAAGGTAGGGAAATGAAACCAGACTTCCAGTCATCGCTGTAAGAGAAAAATAACAAACTACTCTCCATGCTGCTGCAGAAATGGAAAGTATTAATAAATTTGAGAAACAGGAGATTTGGGTTAATATTTGGGAAAAAAAAAAATCCATTTGCAATCTTCAGGACAGTTAAGCACTGGAACAGCCATCTCTGGATGTTTTTAAAGAACAGATTAGATGTTCATCAACATTAGCTGATTGTCCCTTGGAGCAAGAAGAGCTATTAGTTGACCTAATCCATCCAGCTCACAACAGAATATGCTGCTCGGTACTTACAAACCCATGGGCAAACGTCTGTTTGTTTAGTGCAGTAGTGCAGTAGTCTGGACTTGGACTGAATTTTAGGATGGTTTCAAGGAAAAGGAGTGTCTGGATTCTTAAACATAAGGGGATTTCAAGCTTTTTTAACTTGAGAGTAAAAAATTCAAATCAAAATAAGTTTTACCGTGATAAACTGCAAGTTGCTTTGTTGACTTAATTGAGACAGATGTAGAAACTCAAACAAACCTTATAAACTGAATCTGCTAGTTGTCTAGACTGGGGCCAAATCTAAATGGTAGAAATGAGAAAGACGACATGCAGGGTAGACACTAAATATCAAAAGTAGCATTCATGTCTGTAAATCACAAAGTATTTATGATTTTTTGAATACATACAGAAGGTATGAGAAATTACATCAGGCAATTATTGTAGACGATCAGGAAATGTATCAGAAATATCATCCCAAAATACTATATACTCACACATATTTTGAACAAAGTGCACATATTTGACAGTAAGTAACTACAGCAATAAACATCCACACCTGCATATACAAGAAGTTTGAAATACTAGGACAAAAACTTTGTGCCGAATAAAGTATAACTAAAATACATGCAAAAGTTCTCCTTTCTTAGTGAAGAACTAGCTATGAACAGAAAGAACACTTTAAATAACTACCAGTAGCTTCAGCTCAGAACTTGTATAGCAAAGTTCACAGGCCACATCTGCATCAGCAAGGAATGCAGCCAGAGAGAAGTTCATTTGTAAAACAAGAAGTTGGTCCTGAGGGCCTAACATATATACTGTCTGCATTTCTAACTAGTTAGCTGTGACTTAAACACCTGATGCCAGGGACTGACTACCCACTGTGAGTGGAACATGTCTGGTGCACTCCTGGAGCATCTCTTACAGCGTATTTTGATCCAGAAGGAATCAAATTCACTCACACCAAGACTGCTCTGCAATGCAAACCAAAGTGTGTTGAAGTGGGGATACTTAGGAGACAGACTTCAAAAGTACACTCCCTGCCCAAACTAACAAACTGATGTGTGTTAAACATTGATAAAACAAGCTCATACAGTAGTTTTAAGGAAGGAAAGACAAAGTAAAATTTTGAGGTAAAAAAAATTTCAAGTTTGACAAGCTGGAAAATCCTCAAACACGTTGCAAGATGTGGTAAATTGGAATTATATGGAAAAAAAAAAAAAAAAAGAGGAAAAAAGTTATGACACACCATCACAGACAATGACAAGGGCACACAAGCCAAAAAAATCCCAAACCAACCAGACACTGAGATAGAAACAGTCAAAAAGTATTATACTACTAGTTTTGGGACAGATAAGCAAAACAGTTAAGATGAAAAAAAAAAAGTCCCGTAAAAACAGCTGCTCAGGGCATTCAAAAATTGCTGTGATGGCATATTAGATAATAAGCAGAAGATGGTACAAACTGCAGCATAAAACCCTTTTATTTATATGATAACTTGGATTTTTTAAAAAATAAATCAGAGACCTAAGAGGTAGGAGATTACTTGAAAGAGGGGAAAAAAGAATCCCACACCTTCTACAGAATACTACTTGATTTTATTTAAATTCAGTTAAAAGGAATAGCAAATAATATTTAATGAACACTGCTTAGTAGAAATTGGATTTTCTTTTGAGAGATTCTAAAGTAGGTCACATGTATTGTGCCATTTGCTTTTACATGAAAAGTTAATTGCAAAATGACTTGTAGAGAAACCTTTACAGAAAGCCATGATAAAGGACAAGTATTAAATCCAGTAAGTCTAACAACTAGTCTTAAAGTCATAACATACTTAAAACATCAAAGATAACAAGCCTCAAGAAGAAATAAATAAAAATTTCTGTGGATCTGTTCCAGGCTGATTAAATGCGGCATTTCTCAAATCTCATGGAGAAGGAATATGCTGTATGGGTATCTCACTCTCTCGCTAATTTATTTTGCAATATGCCAAAACCCCTTCCCCAGTATTGAACAACTTTTCGGTCATAGCTAAGTAAGGAGCAGTTTAAAATTCTGTCTTCTTTTTCTCTTATTTCCATATAATTTAGGTCAACAACAAAACAACTACACCAGCCAAAACTTCAACCTATGCTACCAAGACCTTTATTTGCGTTCACCATCTCCCAGTCACTATTGCAGTCTGCTCAAACTTAGTCTACCAAAAGTAACAAAGATTCAAGAGAAATGTTATTAGTATTAAAAACATTCTGGGACTCTGCAATCATTTTATCTGACTGGACTACTAGCCACATGACATACAAAATATAACAACTCTCCAAGAGTGTACTTGCAACAGTAGTTGGAAGTTACTCTTGAATTTTTTAGTCTACAACAGCCAAAGGTCATGATAATCTTAAAAATTAAAGCAGTCTAATCCTTAAAGTAACTAAAGCCTCTTCCACTTGGTAAACTCCTTTAAGCTTTACCCAATTACATCAGTATTTTAGGAAAAAACAAATGCTCAGAATTATACCTGTAACAACCTTTGAAAAACAAAATGTACCAAATTATTGAGATAATGACAATTAACAGCATATTCTAGCAGTATGCATACAATACCAACTTTTTAAAACAAGTTACTAATAATCTTTGAATGAGTCAAGGAAATTGTTAAACAATTTTGACACCTATAGCTTTTGCTGCACATGTACCAAAAAAACCCCCTCCACTCTTCCAACTTTGGCATTTAGGTTTAAATCAGTTTGCCAGTGGTTAACAGCTACAAAGCCCACTTGTGAAATAGCAGGGTATTTCTGCTTCTATTCCAACCTTGTATAACTGAACTAGACAGACTGTTTCAACTGTCCTTCCCTGTACATGTCATTAGGTGATGGAGGAAGTCTAAGACTTGCATTTCCCACAGTGCAAGGAGACAACTGAGCAAACAAGTCCTTGTGTAGCATGAAGGGTGCAGTTCATTCTGCTAGCATATGGAAGGACCAACACCTGTACTGGTAAACTGAAGGACTAAGTTGACAGCAGTCAACTAAGATACGAACATCATTTTACTCGCAAGTCTCAATCACAGTGCAGTTCTGATCATGGAGGTTCTGTATCTAAACTCAAATCAAATGATGATCCAGGCAGATGGCCCAATTTTTCTGGACTGGTCCACACAAAAAATCAGTCAGCCATAACATGCTATCAGGCAATTTCCTAGCCCTAGTGATGAATGAGATTTTAATGTAATTGCTTTCATTAACTCTTGCTGGGCTTACTGCAATAAGTTAAGAGTGGCAACAATCTTGAAAAAAAACAGCACCAGCAATTGCTTAAATTTGCCAGAACTGTGAAAAAAACTGCTGCATTTTACAGCCCTCTTAGGAGACTGATGAACACAACCTGCAGTCTCCCTGAAAGCAGAGGGAGGTGGCAGGAGGCAGCCCAGCAGCAGAGCTAGCTGATGGCGCTCCCACCTCCCCCCCCTGCACTGCAGCATCCTGCTTCTTCCAAGCAAACCCCCAAATTACAGTACTGAGAGTTGCCTGTCACCGTAACTGTGGCGGTAGCACACCTTGGCACCAAGGAAACAGTAAAGCAACACCTCTGCGAAGGCTGCTACATTATGCAGTTATAGCCTAAAGCTACTTTCTTAAACACAAGGCAAGATGAAGTTAAAATACTTCAATCCAGAGCTACAAAGTCAACTCCTAAAAGCAAAATGTGTTAGAATAAGCAAATAAATCTGTGAGTAGTATCTGGCCTCATAAAAGATGGGTTTCTCACAGGTGCAAACATCAGCATTATTTTGTATCTGCACTACTTTATTTCTGATATCTGCCACC